CCCTTCGGAAATCCTTGAATTGATCCTTAGTGTAGAAGCTGGTCTCGAGCACAAGATATGACAAAATATCACAAGCTTCGACAGGAGGAAGGCATTCCGAAGTATATTTCTGCACCGGAACGAGCAAATGATCCATGCCGATCACTGAGATCTTTTCGACATACCTCTTAATACTGCCTTCCAGTGAATTGGCATAAGCGGAAAATATAAGCTTGGAATCCACAATCGCTTTGTCCGAAGACGCATATTTTCCCAATTCACTGACCGCTATCTCAAGAATCACTCCTCATACATGGCGGCGCCTCGTTTTCGAACATTTCTATGACGTCACGCGAACAGACTCTATACTAAAATAAATGAACAACGAAAGTCCTCTTTTACTTTGCTTTTGCGCTACGTGTTTCACCGCTTTTGCGGCTCTTCAGGCATAGCAAAGTGTCTTTATTGACTTATTACGTCACAGATCTATTTGTAGTTAAAATGATAATGGTTATTGTAATTCGATAATGGTTAATGTAATTTTCCTCACTTGTTTGTTAAATTCTCTGCCTCCAGCTTTTAAACGCAATTCGTTTCAAATCCTATTCCATTGTTTTACGGCGAAATATTTAATAGAGTTCAATCCATGCTTTGTGGTATTTACTTTTGGTAGCGATAGCATACTATTGCCCCTTAAATCATACTTATTATTTCTTCTTTTAACAAGTATTTTGATGCATATGGGGGCGGTGCCTTGAAAACAAGCGTTTATGGTTATTAACATGTCCTGGACACGAAGGTTTTCTAACGTGGTCTCTAAACCTACACGCTTTAGCAAAGTGAAAAAAGGTTTTCTTTTTTCTTTGCCCATAAAAAAGTGTTTAGTAGAACATTCAACATTCATAGTTTGGTTGTTCTCCAATTCTCCTGTTTTTGTGTCGCCACAAGCTAAAGCTGATTTCTGGCCAGACCGCCCGTGTGGACAGCGATCAAAATCAAAGGAGAACCTTCTCTTGGACTTAATTTGCATATCAAAAACTCACTAAATTGGAGGAAAGAATTCTTAAATTGCAGGTGCAAGTCGGGCTAAAAAAAACTCTCAGTGAGAACGACACTTTACAAAAGAGTTTACCTCGTTGAAGCCGTAGGAATTTGGTCAAAATACCACAGAGATATCAATTTGAATATTGAAAAAAAAAATTGAGATTTTCTTATGCCCTTGCATTTTCGCATATTTTAACTAAAAATTTCTATTCTCATTTGATGCTGCTTCTAATCATTGAAATAGGTACAAGAAGAGTCCATAAGGATAGAGAGTGAAAGATGGAAATAACTGCCTGAGGAGAAAACTAACCAAATTAACTGTTTCAGAACACACCAATTGATCTCACAGCGTCTCTGTGACGCGCGGAAAAACATCTTTGATAGATCACGGCCAAATGTGATTGGCTAACACGTTTCTAGGAAGTGTAGCCTTAAATTGGAGGTACATCTCAGTCATCAAACTGCTGTTAAGCTCCTCTGTGTGTTCAATAGCTCCAAAACATCGAAAGTACTTCTTTTCGGCTGATTTTGTGCGGACATGACGGTTTTTCTCCACTTGTTCCTTATCTCTGTGGTGCTTCCCCTCAGACAATTTCAGTCCTGCCCAGATGGTATGTTAGCTTTCATTTTTTGATAAGAAACCTTTATTTTTCTGCTCTTAATTTTTCAGCTAAGAAATATATCAAAAAGTGAAAGGAATTGCACATTTTGGAAGACTGAATGTCTCGTGTATAGAGACCTAACTAACAAAATGTCTGGATCTTATCTTTATTAAGTGTGATGTTTTGCTCTTTACATCTTTCCATTAGAGCTCGCATGTTTTTTTCATGGTCGACCACGGCTTCATGCTCTGTATCACCCTCTCCATAAATTAGGATATCATCATGCACTGATATCACCCCAGGTAGACCTTCAACCGCTTCATGCTGTCGCCTTTGAACCGGACTATATCCATAATTACTTGATTGGTCATCTTTTTTAAAGCTTATAGCCTCGAAGTCTTTTGAGACACTCATATGAATCCATTAAGTTCTATGAAGGTCATCCAAAATTTATGAATATATTTTCGAAAATTCCTTTTGCTTGTCTGGTGCTTGCACAAACTCAAGGAAGAGCCTGAAGTTAGCCACGCACTCAGGGAAACAAAAATTGACATATTAACAAATTGGAAAATAGATATTTTTTTATTCGAAAAATTGCCTTCCTTTTTTGTTATATTCTCCTGTGGAATAACAATCTCTCTTTGGATACATGATTATTCGCTGGTTTCATATTTAGTTGACATCATTTGTTTTTAACTGAAGACAAACTTTCGTAATATACACCTCGAAAACATATTGCCGACAGGTTTTAAACATATACCAAAACGAATGTCTTTTAATTTTTAGAACTCGGTGTTCGAGGCATATTATTTTCTTCATAGCACCCTTCCTGTGTTATGTATTACACAATTTTTGGAAGCCTAATGAGTGGGTTTTTCAAAGCCAATAAAAACATAGAGAAAGTTGTTGAAATGGAGGCAGAGCAATTATGTTTCCAATAATGCAAAACAAATACTGGCTGTGAATGAGAGAGAACATCAATACTTCTCACTTGACAGGTGGCTAAGAGATAGATGAATGGATGTGTAACCATGAAGATATTGAAATTAGTTATATTTAACAACTCTTTCTTGGAACATTTTTACAATTCAATTAAAATCGAACAAACAAACAAAAAAAAAATCACAAAGAACAAAAAAAAAAAACACAATGTAAAATGAAGAATTTGTTGGTGCTTGGCGCGTGCATATCGTGAAACAGATGCACGCAGCAGGAAATCTGCAAAGCACAAGGGTAGCGTAAGAGTTGGTTGAGGTGAGGCCATGAGATAATTCAAGACGAAAGCTTTTCCCAATGGAGTGCTAAATTGTATGCTTGGAAGCGGAAAACGAACGAATTTCCCTCATTTACGACTATTGCGTAGTACAGTTAGCATGCTTGGACCATTTTTTGCTAGAATTTATGACGAGAATGTGTAGTTTTGAGTTGAAAATTCTGAAAGATTTTAAGCAAAAATAATTAAATCAACAATGCTCATATAAGTCTTACTATTTTAAAGAAGTGTAAGAGAGCTCAGTTTCCTTGTTGTGGCAATAACTCGTACCTTGTTTAAGATTGAAATATTGTCAACCTCAAGGCTATTTTCGTTTGGGCGAGGAAGACGTGATTTGAAATAATGTACATAAGCTGGGAGTTCATAATTGAAACCTCTTGCCTCTTTTATCATTGAACATTAATGGCAGTTATTGAGTTTTCTGGGCAAGAATTTTGTTCGGAGTTTGGGCTGGTCAAAGTTACACTTTGCAATTATCAGTACCATTTTTAACAATTGTGAGGCTGTGCGTTTCAGGTGTTCCGCAGAAAGTAATTGAGATGAAAAAACAAAACAAAACAAAAGAAAACAACAAAACAAATCCTTTGTTTAATGTAAGCTGGGGCAGCAGAGGTCATCATGAAAATTATTTGCATTTCTCTAAAAGAACGAAAAAGTTTATTTTCCGGCTTTTGGAGGTCATACAATCCTTTTCTGGAGATCTTTTTGGCTCGAAAAAACTAAAGGCTATATATATTAATGATCTTGGTATCTCACTGAATACGTCGTAATTATCAATATAAGTCCCAAGCGCTCGGAAAGCGAGTTTAACAACAGTTGTGACCTTTAGAATTCATGACCCATGTCGCTATTTAACTTTTAATGATTTGAATTTTTAGATCAATGCCGTATATTAGCATTTCCATCGACTCTGTTCTTTGTGGGAGAACGTCTTGTTAACCACACCATAACAAACATTAGTGTGACGGACAGGGACACGTGTGAACATCGTTGCTACCTGGACTATAACTGTGTCAGTGTTAACTTTTATTTTGGAGAAAAGGGAGCAGAAGAACACAACTGCGAACTGAATAACTCAACGGCTCAAGAGCATGATAAAGATCTGGTGGAAGCAGCGAACTATGTGTACCATGGAACTAAGGTACATGGACGAGCTGTTAATTACACCTCTCTCTTTTCTAGTGATTCACGAGAGCTGAGGGTTACTTTCATCCATTATTTGTTATTTTACATAATTTTAGATAAGTGCTTTTATAGATAAGCAGTTACTAGGAACAAAAATCCTTTGAGTGCTTTGTGGACACTCAACTCTATCAATAAAAGCAAGTAATTCGTCATTTTAGAACCATGCTCACCGGCCTTGAGTAAAAATTGATCGCTCTCCATGCCTCTCATATAACAATTCTCGTAGGCAAAGATAAATGAAAAGGTCATTTTAAGGTATTACTGGAAGAGACAGTTTTTATTCAATTGATTTTTCGAAGCTTGAATATACTATGTTTAAATACAATCGAAATAGTTAAATTCATTTCATAGCTCAGGAGAAGATCACAACTATGGACATAACGATAAAGTAGAGCTATGACTGGGGTTACTAGGTGCTCTTCTTAGGAACCACGCTATTTTCTTTAAATCCTGTCTACAGACGCCCTTACCCGATTTTTTTTTTGTGCGCTCAAGTTCTCGACGAAACGTCAGAGAAGGCTGTCAAGATACTGGACAACTACTTGTGACATCCCCTTTTTTTTTCCTTTTTAAGAACTTTTGCGCTCAATGTCCATGAAAAAACAACGGCACCTGCCAGTCGGGATTTACAAGAAAACGATATCGATGCTTATGTGCGTCTGGATTTACTGGCCACGATTGTGACGTGGGTAAGACTTGAAATGATATAAATCGATTTTGTATTTGATTGCAACTCAGTGGATATTTTAAGATTCAAAATCGGTTGTCCTTATTTCACGTGTTAACTGTGACCTAATGCGGAGGAAAAGGAGAGTAGGGGCGCAATTTCAATTTTCTTTTTCTTTTTTCTAATTTCTGGGTATTGTGTCTTGTTTAGGATGAACAGGAAGGAACTAAAGCCAGCTCCTTTTCTTGTAAAACTCGTTTTCTTTTTTGAAGACCCTCCTACCTTTTTCAAGTTGCAGCCTCGTGTACACTCATGTTGTCACCTAAAGTGATCACCTAAACTGACCAAACAGTTTTTTTTTTGTGTGTGTGTGAGAACTGTATTCCTGTTAACAAAACTTTAAACCAAAGAAAAATGGCGCCTAAACCAAAACCAAAACAACAGCAACATGAGGTTTCCAGTTACGTCATTATCACGTGGCCACTAACTAAATCAATGTATTTATAGTCGCGACACATGTACTATTCTCAAGATATCCCTCAGTGGAGTCTTTTGATATCAATAAGAACTCAAGCCAACTCCATTAGGACCATTCTATTTCAGTCATTAAGTGGAAAAGTAGAACAATGGATTTGAACTCTCCTATCCAGAACACGATGCTTTTTCGTATCAGCGCGATGAAACCTTTAGAACTGGGCGAAATTGTTGGAGGCGCAGTCGCCTCATAGTTGGTGCGCTCGACTCCGGATAGATTGGTCCGGGTTCGAGCCCCGGCCGGGGACATTGTGTTGAGTTCTTAGGCTAGACACTTTACCCTTACAGTGCCCCTCTTCACCCAGGTGTTTAATTAAAAATGGGCA